TAGCCCCTCCGGAGCGGGGTTCTCTGCATCTTGCTTCTCGTCCAGATTAGGCTCTTTCGAGACGTCGAGCTGGCTGGCATTGGCTGAAGGGCTGGCTGATATTATCGGCGTGTGAACCGTGACCTTCTCCTGTAACGTTGATGGCCTGTCCTCCGATTTCTTCTCCACGTGATCATCGCTTTCCCTTGGGGCCAAGGTGGGCGTTGATGTATTTGTTGCTCGGAAAGCTTCGCCGTTGAAAGAAGCGCCGTCGCCTTCGGCAGACTTGGTCGCTGGGGGAGTGTCGACCATGATGATTCGGGATGCTCTCTAATTAGGCCCACTCGCGACGATGATGCCCCCGAGGAGGTAGAGAAGGAGGGGCCGCACAAGACGGTGGGAAGGGGAAAAAAAAGGCTTTGGCTCTGGTGGCAGAAATTGATTAGAATAATGAATGAGCGGACAACAAGTTCGGCTGGGTTTTTTTTTTTTTTTTTTTTTGGTTCCCTTTCTTTTTCTTTCGCCTTCGCCGCTTTTTTTCTTCTCGCTGCTTGGCGCTCGGGCAGTTCACAGGCATGAACCACAGACGGATGAGAATCGGTCGACTCAGGCCATTTTAATTATACATATGGGTGGCTACGGACACTTGGTTACCTAGCATGGTATCAACGCGGCCGTCGGCGACCAGTGAAGGTGCCTCGGACGCGACGCGATACTATGTACACCATCATCGTATGGTGGCTGCCGCGAGTGTCTCGCGCGACGGCGATGCAATGGCGGTGGGATGGGTGCCAGAAGAGCTTAGTCGAGGCCGGTGGGGATGTCCAGGCGAGCGTCGTAGCTCGTTAGTCCCGGACATGTTCGCAGGGAGAAGCGAAGGATACTCAGCATCAATGGAACCTTAGAGGGCCATGTCTCGGACACCGGAGGTCGTACTGGTGTCCGGCGGGGTCCCGACTGCGCCGTTTGCGGCATGGACTCGGGTGCTCGGGTAATGCAATGCATACCTTAGATAAGGTACCTGGGTATCTGTAGTACTACCTGCCTTAGGTAAGGTTCCTTAGGTGGTGTGGTAAGGCATGAGGTGCACCTTACTGCCCGATGTCCCTGCTTACCTAAAGCTGCTTAGGGCTCTTTGTGCAAAGCTGGGCTCTCTGTTGTTGCATTGACCTCTAATCTGTCAACTTGGATCAACGTCACCTCTCGTTCGGTCCCGGACGGGTAATTAATTAGGTATTCTCCTCAGGTGCTTTCTCTCCCTGCCGGTCTTCCCCCTCAGACATCGCGACGCTCCATCCATCCCATCCCATCCCATCCACCAGTTCCCAGTTCCCAGTTCCAAGGTCCCAGTCTCGCCCTGTGGTCGTCGCCGGGCCCAAGCTACGGTCTACGTATCTACCTACCTACCCGCCCTATAACGTAAGGTAGGCAAGAGCCTCAACAGCACCACGCCCACCGGATTGGAAACGCCCACGGCCCTGTCGTTCGTCCTGTCTCTGCCGGTTTGGTCCACGAATAGTCCCATTGCCTGGCCCTATCATACCATCTTTGCGGATACCAGAGCTTGTGCTGGTGCTGGTGCTGGTGCTGGTGCTGATACTCCCACCGCCTACGGATCCATTACCCTCAACGCCTGGTTCCATAACCGACCCCAACCGCTTACCTACCTAGGTACCTTGTCCGTATCTAACTGGACCTACCTATCCATACCTTTACCCCCGTCTGCCTTACTTCGCCTGTCCCCCCAAATTCTCCATCTCTGCACGCATATCCACGCTTGTCTCCACCAAACCTACTCTAAGCTGAGCTTCTGCCTGCTGCCTGCTCATTATCCGTACACATACACATCTACTAGGCTTACCGCAGCCATCTTCTGCCCATTCCGACAATCCAACAGACCGTCCATTCCAACAGTGTCTCGGGTAGTCAGAACAAAATCTTCACCGAACCTCGTGGTCTCCGGCAGAGAACCCCTCGAGACAGAATACGACGCCGCTCCGCTCCACTGCACTCCACTCCATACCGACAGGTCTGGCCAGCTGCCCCTTGGCGCATCTGATGATTGTTCATTGGTCTCTTCATTAAACTCGTCCCGCACCCTGTCAACGTTTCGCCTGCAACCTCAACTTTCGGATCCGAACCGGGATTCAGCCAGCCGACATCAAGACCTGTATGGTAATCAGGCAGTCAGTCAGCGTCTCGCCATCTGCATACCAGAAGTTGGCCCGCATCCACATAATAAACCATGTCGGGAGAAGCACAACTACTACCTCCGCCGAGGGCTCCTCCCCCCCCCGAACCCGACCCCATAGCTGCCATGAAGCTTACCAGAGGCACATCATGTGTTCTTTGCCAGCAGCGAAAGGTTCGTTGTGACAAGAACAAGCCTTGTGCCAACTGTGTCAAGGCTCGCGTCGAATGTCGAGTCATCCCCCCACAACCACCGAGGCGACGAAAGAAGCGTCTTCAAGAGAGAGACCTTGTCGACAGACTGAAAAAGTATGAGCTGCTCTTGGCTGAAAATGGCGTCAAGTTCGACCCCATCGCAGCCGACCTGAAGCCTTCAGACCGAGACTCTATCCACATCGACGAGGGCCCCAGTATCGATGAGGTTGCTGAGCTGGAAAACGACTTCGAGGGTCTCAAGACGTCTCCCGAGGGAAGCACATCACCCTCCGTCGCCGGCAGCAGGAGGTCACAGTCCGACAAGTGAGTAAAGCGGTCCTATACTACTACTACTACTACTACCACTACTACCACTACTGCTACTACTTCTACCGCTACTACTTCTACTTCTACTACTACTACAGCAAGAACTCCCCCTTTGTACATGCGCTAATATGTAACTCGATATACTAGACCCTTTAACAAATGGTTTCCCTTTCACAAAGAGGTTTGCTGCCCTCCTCCGCTTCATTTATCTACGCGCCCCATTTTTGCCTTTTGCCACCCTCTGTCCTAACTGATGGCCCAGTTCAGAGCCAGCGAGGAACTGCTGAGGGATTCCTCGGAAGATGAGGTCGATGGTTCCACGATACACCACGCCTTCGATAAGATGTATGACAACCAGGATGGCTTCCCATTCATTGTCGGCAACCGGAATGCTTCCGTGACACACCTGCATCCATCTCCCATTCAAATCTTCCAACTCTGGCAAATTTATATCAACAACGTCAATCCTCTCCTGAAAATAACACATGTTCCCACTGTTCAAGGTCTCATCATAGAGGCCAGTGCTAACCTCGAGAAGATTTCAAAGAACGTGGAATGTCTCATGTTTGCAATCTATCTTTTAGCAGTCACCTCACTAGAGGATACCGAGGTCGCCAAGATGTTTAACGAACCCAAACCTTCCGTCTTATCTAGGTTCCACACGGCTCTCCAACAGGCACTTGTCAACGCTGGCTTTATGCGGACAAGTGACACCATGGTCCTCCAGGCCTATATGCTCTTCTTGGTAGATACGAACCGCTTTCTGTAAACGCGTTTCTACACAGCAAGCTTGCTAATTAACGCGAATAGATCGCCGTTCGCATGTTCGTCGATCCAAGACAGATCTTTTGCCTGGTCGGCATAGCTGTAAGGATCGGCCAGCGGATGGGTCTGCATCGGGATGCTGCAGCCTTTGGGCTCTCACCCTATGAGGTCGAGCAACGGCGGCGTCTCTGGTGGACTATTGTCGGCTACGATCGTCGGATAGGAGAGATGACGGGCTCAACCGTAACAGCCTTGTCTACTGCCGGTGACTGCAAGCTGCCTCTCAATATCAACGATACTGACCTACATATCAACGGTAAAGATGCTCCGACTCCACACCAGGGTGCGACCGAGATGCTCTTCGTCCTCATCCGGACAGAGTTGGCCATGGCTATTAGCAGCGATACTGTACGCGATGGGCAGCGCCATGGGGACAAGGAGAAAGAATCCGGTCCAGCGGCTATCGCACCGCGACCGGTCCCGACGGTCCGCATGGCTGGGCAGGATCAGACCTACACACTAGACGGCTTCTTCGCGCATATCGAGGGCACCTACCTCAAATGGTGTGACCCCAAAATACCCTTACATTTCTTTACTCTCACGATGACGCGGCAATCACTATGTAAGATGAGGGTCATCTCATTCCTTGTACGGATGGGCAACGGCGAAGCGACCACGCTCCAAGATCATGAGCGCGATACACTCTTTCTTGAAGCCATCCAGATGATCGAGTACGATAACATCGTCCAGGCCGCGGAAAGTCTGCAGGGATATAAGTGGTATACGTACCTCCACTTCCCCTTTCCGGCCTACATGTTCTTGGTGACGGAGTTACGGCAACGGCTGACCGGGCCGATGGTTGAAAGAGCATGGGATGCCATTGCTGAGAACCACGAACGGCGAGGGCTGATGAATACACTGCATAGCCCGATGCACATCGCTTTCGGCAATCTATTTATCAAGGCATGGGACGCTCACGAAGCCGGCCAGCAGCAGATCGGAAGACCTGAGCAGGAGCCTATGTGGATCACGAGGTTGCGCCAGCGGGCAGAGAAGGCGGGCAAGAAGCAGCGCGGTGGCCGGCCCGGGCCAGATGGAGGAGCCGGATTCCCACAACAGGCTGCCAGAAATGCACCGGTCAACAATACTACGTCCCAGGTCGGCCCTATGCAAATGCCGACAAACATGATTATGACGCCGCCATCGGTGACTGCGGGGACCCCGGCAATGGGTCCCCCGGCTTCGGAAGGTGATGTTGTGGATATGGATTGGAGCTACTTGATGCAAGGGTACGACATGGATACGTATGCGGCATTTGGAGGTGGGTTCGGCGGCTTTCCTCTGGGCGGTAATGGCATGGTCGGTCCGGGGATGATGGGGAACCCGGATGGTGGTAATATGTTTGGGAGCTGAGGAACTTTCAATCCCTCCTACATGTGAAGGTTAAGGCGAAGGCCTGGGCAATTGTCCATGTATTAAATGAGAGTTCTTTCTTCACACTATATGTTTTCTATTACCCATCAGCACGATACTTGGTGCCCAGTTTAGCAGGTGCCACTTGATCCAGTAGGCCCTTCCCAAGCATCATTTACCGCCAGGCTTTTCGTCGAGCCACAGGCAGGTACAGCCAGTGTACGGTTTGTTGTCTCGTAAATGTAGCCTTGGTCGCAGTTTTGCTTCCTCGCGTAGACATAGCTCACATTCTGGCCCCCGAGAATTTCTACGTCGACGGTCCAAAGCGGACGTTCAGAGCTGTAATTTGATGCGCTCATTTGCTGGCCATTTCCAACGTTCCAGGAACCAAGTTCGGCAACATTGCCGACAAGGTAGACATTTTCGCCGTAGTACGTCGTCGCATTGACCAAGAAACTGACGGATACAGGGCAGGAGCCCGTCACGTTAGGGGCTCCGGCAGCGATTGCCGGGGCGTAAATGCCGGTCGTCGAGGATGCGGTGCATGTAGCCGGTAGCTCCGTGGAGGCAGTCCAGCTAGGCGGGTACGAGCCGGCGCGGCGCTCACTCATCGTGACGAAGGCCGCGTACGACCATGTGAGGTCAGCCGCAGAGATAGGGTTGCCTGGCGGGGCTTTGTTGAACTGCTCAGACATTGAGCCGTTCTTGGGGATATACTGTTGGGCTACGGCAACGAAGGAATCCGCGTAGGCGGTGACGGCGCTGAGAATGCTGCTGTAGTCATCGGATAGGTTGGCGGCCTTCTGGTAAGTGCCCTCCTTGACTTTGGGGTACAAGTCGGCGAAGAAAGGTTGCGACGTCGAGTCCACCTTGATTTGACCCTGCGACTTCCATTGAGCCACTGCGTCGTACAGGAACTCGGCTGCTCCGATGGTGATGAGATACCTAATCGCGGGTCAGCACCATGCTTTTGGCGTAGAATTCGGATTTAACTCACCAAGGATTGCCGTCAAAATACACATCCTCGGTGTAGCGGCCCAGAGCTACACCCTTGTTCTTGGCGATTCCCTCGTTGATGGGGTAGAGCGTGGCGTTGCGGAAAGCGTCGATCAAGACCTTGAAGTTGGCCAGAGATTTGCTGTGGCAGGGTTGAATGGAAGGATCGTCGCAGCTAGCTGCGATATCAAACACAGCGATGGACCCGAGCATGACGTTGGCATCCTTGCCGGACCGTTGTGTTTGGGTGTTGATGTTGGCCGTGAAGTATTCCCCGTTCCAGAAAGTTTGGAGGAAACACAAGACGTCGGGTGCCAGCTCACAGCCTGCGCACTTGACGCCAAGAGATTGTGCCAGCGTGTTGCCTTCCACGAGGGACCGATACTGGCTCTGAGTGGTGAAAAAGCTAGAGCCGGAGACTTCTTCCCAGAGGTCGAATCCGGTAGAATTCCTAGGCTCCTTGTCAGGCCATCGACACGACATGCGTCTTCCGGGAGATTGACTTACCAGTATTGGCCAACATAGGACAAATCGTTGGCGATAATGGGCCAGATGACGTCTTTGACCTTGGATTCCTGGCCATTCTGAATAAGCCAATGCGAATAGGTAATGAGTGTGATAGCTCGCAACGCCGGCCCGTCTCTTTGAGGGCGACCCCAGGCACCGTTGAAGCGTGAGCCGTCGACCAAGTACTTGGCCTCGCCTAAGCCGCGGCCAGAGGCCAGCAGAGACCCCGACGGATTTGTGACGGTTTGCAGGATAGCCTGAGAGTGGTAGTAGTCCTCGATGTAGACTTGGAGATCCTTGTTGCCAAAAATGAATTCGTCGACGACCATCTTCATGGTCAACGCAGCATCTCGGGTCCAGGTATAAAAGTCTGCGGCGCGTACTGGGTTAGCGAACGAAGACAATGGGGCTTGGGGTCGGTAACAAACAATCAGGGTCCGACTTGGACGGGCTGGCGACGACAATGCCGGCACCAGCCCCTTGAATCATTGAACCATGGGGTCCGATGTTGTTCAGGGCGCTTATGAGAGCAATATCTCTTTGACGAGTGACAAAGTCATCGAGATCTGCCGCGAGGACATTGGCGACGAGGCCGAATAGGGAGAGCAACCCGGATCGCAGAGACATGGCGTCACAAATGAGAAGCAAGTGCCCAGCGTATGGCGAAATCCGTGCTTGATCCTATGGATGGCTTTTGGAGGTAGGGTTCGGCAACATCGACGCCATTGGTGACGGCTGCCTGATATGCATATATAAGTTGTTGTGTACAATACAAACGAAAATCCTCGTGCTGAGACATCCCAAGCAACTCGTATTGTGCAGGAAAACATTAGTTTGCAGCAAAGCTTATTACCGGCATCATCGTTCTGGACTGCCCTGCACGTTCATCCCAAGTCGTCTTCTTTACAGGGATGGCGCCTCTGCCTGCCTGGCAATGGAAGTGGAAAAGGAGTCGCCGCGGTGCGTGGGTACTGTCATTTCATTCGAAAGTGCACCCAGTGGGAAGGTTTACAAGGGGGCCGGGGCGACACCGGACTATCTGGTCTAAACCCAGCGGGCCGAGTAAGGTGCTTCTGCTAAGGACGGCAACTTACTTCAAAGTTGTGGGGTTTAGGGGCTCGGTTAAGCCGGTTGAGTGCGGAGAGGAGGAAAGGATCGCCTAATTGGCACCCTCACCTTTACCACGTCCATCAGAAATCTATATAATTAGTATTTGCAACCTTCTGAACCATCCATACGAATACAACAGAAAACGCACATCCATGACTCGCCGAGAGAACTTCGGTCTCGGATCTCTGAAGCATGCGACCGACCTATCCTCATCCGCCCACAGGGTCGACCGGTATGCAAAGCACTCTATGGTTCATCATCAACACAGGTTGAATGCCTTCAAACAGTATTTGGTAGCCTACAGTCCAAAGGAGGGGGGGGGACGCTTGGCTCTTGCCAACTTGATTCGGTTGTATGTGCTTCCATCTACCAATTTTACCAACGCATGCATGTGTGCTGCATCATTCGCACCTATTCTCAAAGGGTTCGCCATCCACATCCCGCACCTGATCTTTCCAATGACCTTTTGGCTACCTCTCGTCTCGGCTACTCCACTCTGCTCACTCTAACCCATAGGCCAGACTGGATAAAGATTCCAGCTGAGAACGAGTTCCATGATTTGGTAGGGTCCGTCAGGGCAAAGTCGAATCGCCGTAAGAGCTGGCAGTGACAGTTAGTCAACCAAAGATGCCTCTTGCGCAGGATGCTGGCTAGCCCAGAGAAGACTTACTTCAACGAACACTTTGTTCATCTCCAATAGGGCCACCGTCTTCCCCAGACACTGCCACTTGCCGTACTTGAAGACCAGTTCCCATTGCGCCGTCATGGATTTGAGTTGATCATCTTCGGCCTCTAACCAGCGTTCCGGCCGGAACACGTCGGCGTCTGGGCCGTATACCGTTTTGGAGCGGAGCACTCCGAAGGCAGTCCAACCAATATCAGCTCCTTCGGGTATACTCATGCCATGCATGAAATCACCTCCCTTGGGCACTGTTGCCGACATGAGGCCGGTGACCGGAGGAAACACACGCAAGCCTTCCTTGATCACAGCTTGCAAGTAGCGAAGGTCACCCGCTTCCCGGTTAGTAATGGGGGATGATATCATACCCTTTCGCGCCGCATCCCGTATCTCGTTGGCAAGGCGGGAATAACAGGATGGGGCTGTTATCAGATACAGGATTGTGGCCCGGATTGAAGTGGCTGTCGTGTCGGATCCGGCTATGATCTGTACCAGTGTCTCACCCTCAGCCTCCTCTCTGGTCAGGCCATGTGCAAGGAAGGACCCTAACATGTCCCGCCGTTTCACCGTTTTGTCTGACATAAGCCTTTCTGCGACAACCCTCTTCGCGACGCTAGCATGAAGCAAACAACAGTTAGTGGTCTTGTGTTCACACCAAAGATGGCACAGAGCAACACAATCACTCACGCGATGAACTGGCCAAAACCCACGCGGTCATGCTCCGAGGGCATTGCCCGGCGGAAAAGGGGCGACTGAAGCAGTTTTGCCAGTTGAGGGAACACGGTGAGTGTCATCATGACTGGCATGCTCTCCTCGGTCATCTGGATGTATCGGTGAACGTCGGCATCTTGCTCGAGGTACCCGAAGTGATAGCCAAACGCGAGCGATGTGATTATATCCAATGTGAGGTACTGAATCTTCCTGCACAAATCCACAGGTCGGAAGTTGACAGCAGTGGACACATATTTCTCCTCAATGAGCCGGACGAGTGACTGTATTTGAATGTCGACGGTGGACTCAAGACCCTCATTTTCCTTGCCAGAGTACTGTTTGATTTTGTGTCAGAAGATGGCGCGTTGATTAAAATCGAATGTAAGACCAGGAAAGACAGGATCATGGCACAACTTACACCAATGGCCATCTTGGCTCTGAGTTCATTGTGGTCATGATCGTTTCTCATAGAGATGATGTTGTCCCTGGTAGGATCGAATCTGACGGCCTGATACCAGGCGCCCTTGCGATATGGCGAACGAACCGCCCACATCCGACGAAGCAGTTCCGCGTCATTGGTTACCAAGTCGTTGGGACCAATGCGGACGACCGGGCCTACAACGCAAGGGTTTCTGTCAGCAGCCTGTGGAAGCCAGACAGGGGAAATGTCTGCGGCTCTTGAGCACGCAGTGGACGAGTGCGCATGTGTGTCTGAGACCTTCTCGGACGGCACAACTCATCTCTGTGGCAGAGGCGAGCGGTTGAGTGGTGAGGGCTGGAAATGTGCTGGGGATCGGGCGTAGGAAGATTCCAGGGTTGACTCACCGTAGTCATCACAGGCTCGCTTGAGGGCGAGATGCATCTGCCCACCCAGTGTGTTACGTAGCATCCACCATTTGCTGAAGGCAGCACCTGGCGGTCCAGGAATATGCCTGAGACGGTTCCATGAGCGGTAGTTCATCACCGTTAGAAGTATGAGAAGGGCAGCAAGCAGAGGAATAAACGGGCTCTGGAAGCGGCCCGAAAGCTCGATGAGGGCAGCCATGACGCCTTGTCTGAGGCGGTTGTGTGAGGCAGGGTCTGGGGACGTGATGTGAGATGAAGAGTGGATTCTGGTTTTTGTCTTCCACCTGGTTTTATCTTTCTTTTCCTTTCTCCCTCTTCCTCTCTGTCGAGGGTGGTGTGGATCGGAGTTTGGGAGTGAATGCAGGGTGTGAGTCTGACAGCCGGAAGAAGTCGAGGGAGGAGGCAAGTTTTTGACTTGACAAACCAGAAGTTAAGCTATGTAGGTACCTACCTGCCTCTTTTACTTCGGCTCCCTCGGAAAGATAGGGAAGAGTGGTAGGTGATCAGGTAAGGTAAGGTACCTCAGGTCGAGGCAGTCCGGTAGGTAACGGAAGGTAAGGCAAGCACGGCGGCCGGAGCTTGGATGGCATCGAGTTCTTCCCGGGAGGGCAAGAGCATAAAAGTGCGGCAGGTGGCAATGACGCCCGGTGATGGCATGAAAATCAACGTGTAAGTAACCAGTTGCAGGTAAGATTGCCGGATGGGGTGAGGTAGGTAGGTACCTTACCAACGAACACCTAGGTGGGCGAGAGCGAGTGTCCTCGACCGCCTCCGGCCTGGCCTGGCCTGGCCGGGTTTTCTTTGTTGACACCTCATGGTACCTTACCCTGCAGTGACAGGCACGATGTGTAGTAGGGTCATTTCAAATATCTTCCGCATCGTTTTAAGGGTCCTTTGATATCTACGGTATCCATGGCAGATGCCTGCCGAGAGCACTGTGAAGGCGGCAGAATTGCAAATATTCACCTGCATTCTGCCGTAGCCTATCGTAGGTAGTAGGCAAATTGATAACAACCTAAGAATCAAAACAGGCACAGATCTGTTGCCTCCTCCCTCCTTTTGCCTCCCCTCTCTGTTCCTCTCACTCCTTTGCTTTTGACACCATTCCCGCTGCTGCCATTTCCGTCTTGACGAGGGTTTCTCCCAGCACCCCGTCCATGACTCTTCTCCTTCCGTCGTGAACTACCAGCCCGACTACCTCTCTGGTCTCGCTCCTGCACTTACATCCAATAGAAAACATGAGCTGTCATCTGCAGTCTTCCGGTCTAGCCTGCTAGGCATCGAACGGGAGCCTGGCCAGACGTGACAGACACGCCGGTCAGACGCAAGACGTCCGACTTGTTGGCCTCCTTTGCCGACCGACCCATCGGAAGACTACGTGTACCTACCAGTCAATTTCCCAAGGAATATCTGCATGCGTCGGCCGTGTGCCCATCTTTCACTATAGCCTGGGAGAATACTGCATCCCTCCCAAGGTATCTGCGTGTAACGTGCATGATCGCGGTGGCCAAACTCCACTGCCATAGCCATAAACCATCAGCCATCAGCCATGAACTGCTAGCCACTATGCAGTTTTCCATGGTCTTCGGTTCACGAGGATATTTCAGGGAACGGGTCACAGGATCTTTCGAGCCTGACGTTGGACTAAAGTGGGTGGATGGGCCCAGCCAGTCACACTGGTTGCGGCCACTCTTGTTTTGTCGCACGGGTGCTCGAAATACAAGAATCGCCTCGGGCTCTGCAGGATCCTCAGGAAACGGACAGACGGACTTGTTTTCTCGCCGGCTACCACATCCACTATTCCTGTTTTCTCGCGGCATGGTCATGATAGCAAGACGTTGGTGGGCCACAGCGGCAGCATGCTACCCACCGTATTTGTCTTCTCCCCGACTGCCTGCATGATTGTATGCAGGAAACCGACTCTCAGCGGAACGGCCGTGATGTATGCTACGACTGTCGGCTCTCAAAACACCACCTGAACCCTCGCCATCGGGATCCTTACCCCTCTCTGCAGGCTACGATCATGGTTCGTGCATATCATCAGCAGTTGACAGCTCGGAAGGCGCCAACTTACCCCCTGGCCATAGTCGCAGGTTATAGCTGTCAAGTTATGACTGGACGAATGCACGTGGCTTGTGCAACCCTCCTCGCCAGTACGAGATTGATACCTCAACTGTGCGTAGGCTTGGACCGACCCTGTGCAAAACCAGTCGAGCAATATCATAGCTACCGTTCTTGCATCCATGACTAACTTCTGTACAGCATCATCTGTAGTGGTTATACCAGAAGGCGGCTGACGCCATCGTCCCGAGCTCTTTGCGCTGATAGAGAGAAGGCACGGAGTCCCTACTCTCTGTTGGGGGGGGGAGGGTGGTTAGCCCAAAGGGAAGATAGAAAGATACACAGCTTTGGGTGACACGGAACCGAAAATTCGGCCTGACAAGGAAGCCACTTGTTCGTGTTGCCCTCGCAAGGAGCACCGCAGCCGAGCCGTTCCCCTCATGTCATTAACACAGACGTGACCTTCCGTCTCCAACCTCAATGGCAGAGAGGGGGGATACGGCCAGCACCTTTCAAAAAATTGTATCGAGCCGCTTTCGGGGTTTCTTTTGAAGCAAATATAGATAGAGAAGAAAGAGCTAATAGAGCCTTGAACTGTCTCGCCACCGTATTGTTGTCGGAATTGTCGGAGCAGGCTCGAATTAATGCTGCACCACTGCCAAGGACTTCGAAGGAGCTTCGACGAGACAAGACGATGGCGATGGAGGACCCGGTCCTGGAAGCGACGCATAATGTCGACACTGTGCTCCCACTGGGGGCCAATCTGGACCTGGAACCTGACGAGGTCAGTGTCGAAGTGGAGGCTCACCACCTTCGGGATCCTGATCTCTATTATGTTCCTTACTTACCACGCCTTACAGGAAGTTTCCGATGCCGATATGCAGAGCAACTTGGGGAGCGATGTCGACTCGGCACTGGGCGAAGCAAGTTTCTTAGCATTAATGGAATCGTAGACTCGCGAGCTTACGCATCACAGTCCGAAGCATGGCCTTCGTCAACCGCTTCCTTACGGTCGAGCATAGTCCGGGCCATGGAGGAGAACGGCCGCATCTACCATGGGTACAAAGATGGCAAATATGTCTTGCCAACTGATCAAGTATGAGTATCTCCGAGCGTAATACGACTGCCGACACGATGCCGTCTGGACTAACGAAATTTTGTCTGTAGGAGGAGCTCGACCGCCAAGGTGAGGTCATCTGCTATTAGCAGACCAATTCAGGCGATGTACTTGCTCTCTAACTGTCGCAATAGCATTTCAGTACCAGCTATGCCAGTTGACGTTCGAGAATAGGCTGAACTTCGCGCCGGTCTACCACCCACATAGGGTTTTAGATGTTGGATGTGGCATAGGTGTGTATCGCTCTCTTCCTTTCCGTCTCTGCCCCGATCCTTAGGCCTCCGCGCGTACGTGTTTGTAGCCTGCATATTGACAACCCCAGAGGCATGTGGGCAATAGACTTTGGTAAGACACTATCCGAGTCCCTTTAGCACTTGAAGGCGTGTTTATTCCGGGACCAGGCGAAGAGCATCCCGAGTCCGAGGTGATTGGCGTAGACCTTTCGCCCGTTCAGCCAGGCTTGTAAGAATCGCTCATCCTGCTCTACTGCGGCTTCACTAACAATTACAGTACACCGCCCAACGTCCACTACGAAATAGACGACCTCGAGGAGGAATGGAGCTTTTCGAGAAAGTTTGACTACATCCACAGCATGATGATGACAGGTGCCTTTAGAGACTGGCCCAACTTTCACCGACAAGCATTTGAGTCTGTCGCTTCTCCAACCACGGCTCTCCACTCATCATCCTATCCTTCGCTAACATTGTCTTGCAGGAACCTCAACCCGGGGGGGTGGCTCGAGATCCAGGATATCGACTTTCCCATGCGATGCGATGACGGGACGATTCCACCCGAATGCGATCTGGGGAGATGGAATGATCTCATGATGGAGGCTGGTAGAAGATCGGGTTTCCTCCTCGACACCTGTGGCCGGGCAGCGGAAATGATGGCCAATGCGGGCTTCATTGACATTGTGCGAATACCGTTCAAATGGCCAATCAATCAATGGCCGCGGGATGTCAGGCACAAAACCCTGGGCCTCTGGACCGAAGCCAACTTCAGTGTTGGTCTTGAGTCGATGACTTTGGCCCTCTTCACCCGGTTTATGGGCTGGAGAAAGGAGGAGGTATGGGACTTCAGCGCGAGGGCGAGTGCAGAATGGCGTGATGTAAGGAGGCATGGCTACTTCGACGTGTACGTTACGTATGGGAGAAAGCCATGACATGTATAGCTGCTAGATTGATGTCGCATAGGCCATCACATCGCACCGGGGGGGTGTTGTGATGGAGAGCTTTCCTGTCGGAGGTCGCTGACTGTATCATCGGTGCCCAGGCGGTCATGCTTTCGAGTCTTCGCACCACGATCAAGCCAAATTATTACGCCCTGGTCCGCATGCTGTCAACCGTGTATTATACCTGTCTGCTTCCGAGGCGACGCGGCCCACGACATGGAGCGGCCGACGTGGCCACTGTCACAAGTCTGGCTGAGACTCTTGCATGAGTCTAAAGCGCGGCCAGAAAGGCCACTTCTTGGCCCGGACTGACAATTAATTGAACCTCCCGGAACATATTGAAACCATTGGCGAACGGCGCAGCAAGTTCTGGTCGGCAATCGGTAGATCGTAGCCTGCCAGTAAAGGTACCGCAGGAAACGGAGGTCTCGTTTCAAGCGGAAGGCTTTTGGGCCCAGACGGAGATCCACGGCAGATACGCATGTATTCTGGTGTCGTGGAACGCCTTTCGGATGTCCTGTTCCATGGCTTCGGCCTCCTGCTGGGTGAGGCCCATCTGCGGCCATTTCACGAGGACGGCGCGAACGAGCTGCCACAAGACGTCCTTACTTAGGAAGAGACCGATTTCTCGCTGATGCCTGCTCTTGGCCCATGGCCCGATGGGCATCTTGTGAGTTCGGCAGTGGATATTGACGAAACCAATATTTCTTAAGATCTCGGGTAGGATGAGGGGAATCCCTAGGTCCCAGGAAAAGTGAGTTCTGAACGTGCGAACGAAAAGGTCCATGAATCTTGTTGGAGCATAGTGCTCGGGTATCGTGTGATCGTCGCATCCGATTTTGACGCCAGCGTCCTGGAATTCAATCCAACCGCCTGGTTTTAGATTACTGTGACAAGGTCAGCCGTTGAACGGGTTAACCCATGGCATTCTTCTTACTGATACGCCGACGTGATGACCTTTACTGGGTCTCGAAGGGTGACACTGACTGAACGCAAATGCACAAAGTCCAAGTCAGAGTATAGAGGGGACCAGGTTTCTTCAACATCGTCAATTCGCCAGTCCACATTCTGAGGACCATAGGCATTCTGGATTGGAGAGATGTCTACTCCAATGACATGTGCACTAGGAAACTTGTCGGCCACTTGAAGATGGGTCAGAACTGAGAGCTTCACCCAACATAGGCACCGGGTACGACTAGCACCAGACGTACCTTCTACAGCCCAAAGGCCGGTGCCGGTGCCGACGTCCATAATTTTTTGTGGACTGTCATTGATGGGAGAGAGGTAGTCATTGCCATCAAGAAGACGTTTGATCAATTGGTGCTTCATTTCTTCCCGGAACTGTTCCGTCTCGTCGTTGGGCAGGGGGTATATTCCCTGGAGGAAGGACTGATATCGTCTATTGAGTGAAGGCTCAGTTTTGTTCCAAGGACGGAGACGAGGGTGTGGGCAACACACCTGCCACCTTCGTGCGAATGTCTCATGACGCGGGAAGCAAGCGATGTGAAGCCCGAGGATACGAGCGACTCCCCGTAATCCGAACCCTCGAATGCGTCATCATCAACTGTGTCTTCTGGAGCCGGCTCTATTGGCTCGGTGGTGGACATATTCATGGCCCCAGCGCCTCTGAGAGGTGACCTAAGACCAGGTCTGCAGAGAAACGGATGGGTATGAATTCATCAACATAGCACTGCCTACCTGTAAGGTGTTGTGGGCAGACAAGATGCCTCGTAACAGAGCAGGTTTTGCCGGTGATTGTGGGCTTGTTCTAAGACTGTGGCAAGTGTTGAGTGACAGGCGGCTGCATCAGCAATGTCCGAACCGGCCTGTAGGGTCGGGTGGCGTCGAGCTGAGGGTCCAGCAAGTGAGATGTGTACTCGACGTGGGAAGGTGCCAAAGTAAATCGTAGCCTTAGAGACTGCTGGACATGCAATGCCGAAAAGACCAGGCAGCAGCAGAGCGTGACAATTGGTGTACGGAAGACTGCGGGAACGAATTGTGGTGAAGGCAAAGGAAAAGAAAGAGGGCGAGACGGGAGGATGGATCTGGGAGACGCGGGACGGGGAAGATGCCAGGCGGGAGAAAACAGAGCACACCACCTAGTAACAGGAACCGGGTCTCCTGCCAGTACCAACGGCATGGTAGGCCAATCACGGCCAACTGCTCGCAGCCGTTGGTGTTGACGGGGCTGGTCCCAGTGTTCTAAGGGTGCCCATCCTTTGATTAAAGTAATACAAGAGCAGAACCGGCTCCAACGTGCTGGGGCGGTAAATGTCCGAATCCACGACCACGGCGAGAGTCACAATGGACACCTCATCTCAGTTGAATCCCCTACATGGCGGGCAGGCGGATCACTGTGAGTGAAGGTACCCAACACACTAGATGGAGGGGGCAAACCAATTCGCGAGGACGAGCTACGCGGGCTTTGCCATTTTGAGGAGGTCGCGCATATGCGGCATGCAACAGACACAACAGTCCGGGTGTGCCTCAGTATGCGCCTGCAGCTTCTCGAGAAAGCGATCGCAGCATTTTTTGTGACCTAAAAGGCGTCGAGAGAGGCGAAGGGACGGGAGTTGTACGGCTCGAAGTGAAGATAAATGCTGCCAGCAAACCTGGGCTTTGCGCGAAGGTGCCTGCCTGGCGTGCCTGTGCCTGGTTGACATCCGACGGCGTGGATGGCATCAACGCCAGGTCCAGGCTCAGGTACCTATCCTTGACGAAGGAACGGGCTGGAAAGACATTCCCTTCCGTTCCCTCTGGCTTCCAAATTCCACCTGGTCAGTGCATTCGGCCGAACTCCCTGAGTGTCCGGTCCATCCCACATGAGGTACCTAGGTACCTACCTACCTTACCTAGGTAACTAGGTGCCTCAGCTACATTGCCTCTCTCACTGCACTGACACTGGCAGGTAACCTAAGGTAGGTGTGGTGCACTTCACCTTACCTGGGCGTGCACGTCCCCTCCCCACCACACGCGTAGAGATCAATCCCCAGTCGCGTAAACCGCGTTCACGCGCAAAACACTCAGGCAATCACCCGCCCGGGCCATCCTCTCAGTCAATCACTCCCACCCCGTTTCCCTGGTGCTGGTACCTTGTCCATACTGTCTGCCTTGTCAAAATCTACTCGTCGTCAACATCTCTACCGACCGCACTCGCCGCAGATCGACTTTGCATGAGGTAGCAAATTCAATCTGCCGTTCTTGAAGATTCAATCAGATCAGATCCTACCAGCACATCGTTCGAGTTGCTTGCCGCGTTTGCTTCCAAATTACCGACGCCCGTCTTCCCGGCCTGCCCCAGAACGCCAATACCATCCAAAGTCCGCCTCCGTACCCAGAGAAAAAGAAGCGACCTTTGCGTCTCATGAAGCCGCTCGGCAGATACCGTGGGAACGCGTCGAAATCCTCTTAGCCATGTATCTTCCACGGTCTCAGATATCCAAACTCTACCTTCACCTACAAACCACGCGACACCCACTATCACCACCCGTTCTCGTCCTCGTTGCGCTCGAGCCTGACGCCCTCTGCGCATGCCGAATCTTGACTCGTTTATTGAAACACGACTACATCCCCCACAAGATACAGCCTGTTTCCGGCTATGCCGATCTCGAGCGCGCCGGCCGGGACTTGGTCCAGCCCATGATGGAAACCCAAGGAGGGAGCGGAGGAGTCGTCGTCTGTCTCGGTGTTGGGGGCATGGTCGACCTGGGGACTTTGCTTGGGCTGGAGCCCGAAGGAGACGAATTGACCTTTGGCGGCGTTGAGGTCTGGGTCATCGACTCTCACCGTCCCTGGAACCTTGGCAATGTCTTCGGCGGCTTTCCTCTTGAGCCTGCCATTGATGAGGATGAAAGTCTCCAGGCACGCTGTCCTAGCGGAGTAGTTGCGGGTCGAATTGGGCGTGCCTATACACCAGGAAAGGGAGGGATCATTGTTTTTGATGATGGCGACATAGAGGACGACCTCACGACCGAAAAAGATGCATATCTGGCTCTGCTTGACATGCCCGAAATCGACGATGACGGAGAAGATCTTGGAGAAGAAGACGACGATGACGAGGATCTCTTTGAAGGTTCTGTTCATGCTGGCCAGAAAAGAAAAAGTTGGTCAGATCCGGACGAAGATTCCAGCGACACAGACGAAAGGCCACGACAGCGCAGAAGAAGCAATTCTGTGAGTTAAACCCATTCCTGATCGCTCTTCATCACAGGACAGCTACTGACCGTAGACCGAATAGTCCTCGTCCATACCCTCATCGCCCCAGCGACCAGCTCACAGAGGACTAGTGTCTCTCCGTGACGCTGGCATGGTTCTGTCTAGCGACCCTCTGGAGCCCCCATCTGCTGCTCAACCACCCCCTGCACCTTCAGCGAGGTCCTTGCGACGTCGCCTGCTGCGCTTGCGCAGAGAAAAAGAGGGGGTCCTGCGAAAGTACTACAAAATTGGCGCTTCGTTTTCGGAACCCATATCTTCAATGATGTATTCGTTGGCGTCAGAGCTTGGTCGTGAAGACAATGATCTCCTTTGGCTTACAATTGTTGGTGTCACCTCCATGGAGCTCTATGGCAGGTCGTCTGCAGGCATTGCGGTTCCAGTCCGCAACTCAGACCGTGGGCAGGGTAACGGCTGGATGGGAGTTCGTGGCGCTCGCATCCGCCAACTTCTCAGAGATGAGGTTCGCCGTTTGAATCCTCCGGATGTCAATAGCTCCCGTACGTCGGCCGAAAACTCCGGTATCATTCCGACTACTGCCCGGAGCCCGGAGGACACGAGTATCAGGCTATCTCCAGAACCCAAATTCCTTCTCATTAGACATTGGAGTCTTTACGACAGCATGCTCCATTCGCCCTACCTATTTGCCCGTCTAAAGACGTGGAGTGAGACTGGCTTAAAGCGGCTGCACAAGCTGTTGGCCAAGATGGGCGTGAGCCTTGTTCAATGCAAACAGAGCTACACCCACATGGACATGATGCTCAAACGTGAGCTTCGAGCCAAGCTCCTAAAATACGCTTCTCTCTACAACTTGGATGACATGGTCCCTGCGGTAGACACCGATGGCAGAGACCGCGCTGGCGCCAAGGATGGCTGGGGTTTCGTTCGAAGTTGGGGCTGGCGAGCTACACTGAGCGCACAGGATGTTGGTGTTGTCATCGGCGCTCTGCTAGAAGTCGGCAAACATGCAGATGGCACGGAGCTGGCACATCCAATCAAAGATTCCCAAATTGAGGAAGGCAATGACGAAGATATTGTCAACGCACAGAGCGAAGAGTGGGTTAGCCGGTTCTGGGAAGCGTATGATGCCCTCGAAAAGTATGTACCCCATTGGATTTCATCGCGCATCTTGCTGCTAACGATCTCGCGCCAGCATCGATGATCTCAAGTCGGGGTTGCCGACTGCCCAGTTCCTACACCGCGCCATTTATCGCACTGGCACTTCGCTCATAAATAAGAAACAAATCAAGCATCTGCGGGCGTTCCGCATGTGTGTGGTCAAGGAGGGTCCTGACGTTCCCGTTTTTGGTCATCCAGCTGCCCTTACCAAGCTAGCCCTCTGGATCGGTGAGGCTCTTGTGGAGCAGGAGAAGGATGCTACAGGTCGCCTCTCTCATGGCGGCCGCGGTACTCCCCTAGTTGTCGCTAGCCTGAACGACAAACGCGGTGTGTACCTCGTTGTCGGAACAGGCGGCGGCGGTGGGCCGGACTCGACCTTTCTCGACCGTGAGGCGGCAAAGAAACGACAGGCAGCCAAGGACGAAAGGGCCAAACGAAAGGAGGAGTCTCGGCGAAACCAGGAAAAGATTCGCGAAGAAAAAAAAGCTGCTCGCCGAGCGGCAGGGCAGGATGATGAGGACGATGGTGAGCTCGATACCGAATCAGAGGCATCAGACGGGACCGATTCGGACGAAGCCGAGGACGAGGACGAGCCCGCTAGAGACAGGGGATACGGCTTGAACCGATTCGGCTCCGCGTTTCAGGAAGTTGTCGCGGAGACCAACGCTCGGGTTCGAATTGACAGCTTTGAGCATTGCGTGGTGGAGGTCAAGAAGGAGGATCTAGGGGCGTTCTTGGAAAGTCTAAGCATGAAAGCCGTGGTTGGTTAAAGAAAATACCAGCGCACAATGAGGCGGGCCAGGTGAGCTCAACTGAGAGACGCGGTGGTGACTGGGGTGGTTTTTTTTTTACATGGTGGACTAAGGCGTTTTTCGTTGATTTTGACGATGAAGGAACCGGCCTGGGAGAAACAAGCTTAACGAGATACGGGCATGGATCATTCATTCTGCTTTCGTAATTATCAAATTTTTTGTCAACTCTTGCGGCATGACCAGTCTCAAAGTGTTGGGTTCATGGCGTATTGGTGGCCCGTTGGATGATGCACCTTCCAATCATCGCTACCTATCCTGTGATGAGGATTCTTAGTGACCTGTAGTCTCCTCCGTCGGCTTGTGTCTGAAAAGCCCCCGCCTCAGATCCGCAATCGAGGTCTTACTCGAGGAAGCAGATGCTCCCAAGGGCAACCTGCCAGCATTTGGGACTTTGGATTTTCTGTGGCAAACCGGGGGTAATTAAAACAGTAAGCCCAATCAAAGGGCAAATCCTGACAATCCAAAGACAACGATAGGTTGACAGGCGTTGGGTGAAAAGGGGCCGAGGCGTGGCAGCAATCTCAGACGGGCCATCAACCCGGCTCGTCTTGCCGCGTTCGGTGCTATCGTCAGCACTCAAAATCCTGTCTCGTCAGCCGCTCATGGAAAGGAAACTAGGCTTGACAGTCCAAGTCTCGAGGAACAGTTAAAATATGGCCCGGGCAGCTCCTGCTCGCTTGCAGTCTTTGTTCGGATGTATGAGCATACGTAGGTCATCTTGCCATCTCCTCGTTAGCTGACGGCATTTCTACCATCAACATTTGCGAAAAGAGTCGAGTTTTGATTATACTATCCGATCAGCATGACTGGCCAAAAGCCATGGGCCGATGGGCCCTTTGCCCTCATCAGCAGTGCTCGTGTAGGATCTCAGGTATGTCTACAGAGACTCTTTGCTGTGGTGAGCGCTTGGCAATCGTCGAACTTGGGTTAACATTCTGTGCCCGGTTAGAAAGGTGTGAAGACCACCGGAGCCAGGCGCATGGCCGAAGACATGATCATTATCCACAACATGATCATCCGCATCATCAACACGGTCTACCTGCAGTGCATCAACGTAGAGAAGTCGCCGAACGACGTCCAGGACTTTGTTTCGTACGCCATAGAGTGGGCAAAGATGGTGGAGGAACACCATCACACTGAGGAGAGGGATGTGTTCCCGGCAATCGAGAAGATGGCAGAAGCACCGGGGCTCATGGAAACCAACATCGCCCAACATGAGGCCTTCACTGGCGGATTGCATGAGTACCTGAGCTATTTGGAGAAAGTGCAAAAGGGGGAAGGGGAGGGCGAGGAGGCGTACAGCGGAGTGAAGCTCAAGGGCATCATTGACTCGTTCATGCCAGGCCTTCGGCAGCACTTGAGTGACGAAATTGACACGTTGCTGAAGCTTGGAGAATATGATGTCGAATGGGACGAGTGGTTTGAGAGACTCATGAAAGAGCTGCTTAGCAAGAGCAACGACCCGGCGCTTAAGGTATGTACAATTACGGTCTTGTTCCCCTCCACCTCGGCACAGACGTGCAACTGGATGGCTGACGTGATGGCTTAATTGCAGACAACAACGATCCCGCTTCTTCTCACAAACCGAGACAAGTCGTTCGAAGACGGAATATATGCGTGGTGGCCAGCGCTGCCGTGGTTCGTCGTGATACTGTTCCGGTGGTTCTTCATCCCCACACACAGAAGCTGGTGGCGGTTTTCTTCGTGCGATGATCAAGGGATGCCTAAGGAATTGCCTTTTGCATGAAGACATATGTAGATTGGGGCAGACTGTCCAGGTCACTGTTCATTGGGAAGGAGCCAAGCTGACGTCCTGTCTCCTACCATTGGCAGACTACCACACGTTCCTACGCACCCAAGTAGCGGGCTGTGTTGTCGGAGGCCGCTTGGCAACTTGGACGTCGAGTGGGACAAGCCGCATTTTGGTGGAAGGAGCGGGCCCCGTTCAGCATTTGGAAGCCCGAGGTAACGTCATTGGAGGGTTCTGACGGCTCTTTTTTCTTCGCCTTCTGCTCTAAAGTAGCGTGCCTAGTACTTTCGCCGTCGTAGAAAAGATAACCCCCACTTGTGCGAATGTTTCGAGGCTCCAATACATGCCGCTGAGCAGATATCCAAGCGCAGTGTGGCTGGTGGCACACGCATGCAGTTCCGTCACCGTCACCGTCACCGTCCTAGCAGTTCAACAATAGTTGACGAGCCGCGCAGTGTCATCGAAACTGTCGGGCTGCCTCCACCATATTGGTCGAATGACACCGGCCACAGTGACCAGCTCGCTCTTTTGCTGCGGCGCAGTCGCCAGCGGCAGCGCGTATGAAAGAACAAAAAAAAAAAAAGGGGGGGGGGGGGGGGAAGGCGGGTAGCCTCAAATCATGCCTGCCTCACGTACCTACTTACCTACCTTAGTACCTAGGTACTTGAGGTGAGGTAGGTAGCAGGCAACCTCACCTGGGATAGGTGGATAGCTACTTCACCCACAGCGTTGAAAGCCCCTTCATTTCACTGTGAAGTGACATAGTGTATTAAAGTGTACTTTTTGGAAACTCTGCTAGTACGTAGGCTACCCTTATAACCCCCCCCCCCCTTTTCCTTTCTCCCTTTACTTCTCTTAGCTTTAATAGTTTTTTTTATAAATATTAATACTTTTAATATTACTAAATTTAGAGAAAAAGTATATAGTAATTTAATAAATAAATATTTAGTAGTAGTATTTATTCCTAAATTTATTTAAAAATCTAATATTAAAATTTATATTATTAATTATAATTTAGAAGTATTATTTATACTTTTTTATAAAAGTAATAAAGTTAACTTTTTATTTTATTTTTTAATTTACTAATTTAGTAATAAGTATTTTAATAAGTTTAATTATAATAAGTTAATCTTATTAGGGATAGTTAATAAGTAAAGGAAGAATAAACCTATATTCTTCTTTTTATATAATTTTATATAGTAAGTTATCTATAAGTTATTAAAGTTATTAATAATATTCTTATAAACTTAGATTAAAGCTTTCTTAGTTATTATAAATAATATTATAATATATAGTAAGTATCTATTAAAGTATAAATAGAATTTTTATAGTATAGCGTAAACCTCTATAAATTAGATATGGCTAGGCTCAAAGGGTAGAAGATGAAAGCCCCTTCATGACAGGTATCTCCACCTCATTCTCGCCTCGCTGACTGCCTGCCCAGCAGGCCGGGCACAGCATCTACTCTGCTACAGCTTCCTCGTTACAGGGTACCCGCCCCTCCTATCGCCGCCACCTCAGCTTACCTTACCTACCTACCTTAGGTACCTAGAGTTCCCGGCCTCAACCCTCAGTTCCCGTCAGGTCGTCAGGTCTGGTCCCCCGCCTGGCTGGGTTGGTCGCCTCCAGTGTCCCGTCCCCCAAGCATCCTGGGGCTTTATTTCTTTCCCCTCCCCCGCTTGTGTCAACTACCACCATCACCTTATTTGCCTGTATCCAGCCTCGCCGTCCTCCTCGTCTTCGTCTACGCGCCGTCCTCGTCACTTGCCTTGGCCAACAAACGGAAGAGCCTCCTTGCGCTCATCCTGGACACCCTGTTTTCACCTCTTTTGTCGCGCCGACAACCTGACGCCGAGCCGGCCACCACCTCCGCAACCGCCGACGCTAATCATTCTCACACACGATCCCTCTTTGCGACAGACTCACTGCCAACTGAAGCCTATCGCGCACCGCCCGCTCGCACGATCCTTGACTCCCCTCCTGCATCTTTAGGACATCTCTCGCTGCGCCTTGTTCTCGGCTGCTAAGGCTTTCAAATAGCCATGGGCAAATCGTGAGTCGATCGCCACCCACCGGACAGTGCCGTTGTCCTCCGTCCTTCCCTGTTCTGTCACCATCATCGGCACGGAATCCCACCCTGCGGACCTTATAGCGAGGACTCCAGCACCTGCGTGGATTGAGATCATCCGAGACATGGGCTGACAAGCTGTTGTACAGCCAGTCCAAGCTTTCCCAAGAGCAGCTTGCTGAACTGCAGAAGTCGACCCATTTCGATAAGAAGGAGTTGCAACAATGGTACAAGGGTACGTTGGTCACAGTCCCCAAAATTCATCGCGCGCAAGGCGAATCACGAATTGCCCGGAAAACATCTCCTCGTTTCCTCCCCTGTTTCCTCGGGGCGCATCGCGAACTTTCCAAGAACAAACGGTTCTGACCAGCAACCCAGGCTTTCTCAAGGACTGTCCGTCGGGCATGCTCACTAAGGAGGAGTTTCAGAAGATTTACAGACAGTTCTTCCCGTTTGGCGATCCAAGTTCATTTGCAGACTACGTTTTCAACGTCTTCGACAGCGACAAGTCAGGAAGCATCGACTTCAAGGAGTTCATTTGCGCTCTAAGCGTTACGAGCCGCGGAAAAATGGAGGACAAACTCGACTGGGCTTTCCAGCTGTATGATATCGATGGCGACGGGAAGATTAGCTACGACGAAATGCTTAAGATCGTCGAGGCGATTTACAAGATGGTCAGTTTGCGATGGTGCCGGTCCCATTCTCATCCCGTACCCTCCTCTCAGGAAAACAGCTCGGCCTGTCCCATTTTGCCCGCTGACAATCTCGGAACTAGGTTGGCTCCATGGTTAAGCTTCCTGAGGACGAAGATACCCCCGAGAAGCGGGTACGGAAGATTTTTCGCATGATGGACAAGGACGAGAACGGTAGTCTCGACATGGAAGAATTCAAGGAGGGTAGCAAACGTGATGAGACCATCGTATCCGCCCTGTCTCTGTACGATGGCCTGGTGTAAGTGGAGCTTTCGCCATGTTTTGGAAGGTATTGCGGTGTTTTGCGGGCTAGGCGAGCTGTGCGAGACAAAGTGCGATTATTATCATTTTTTTCCTACCCGAGGCCAGGCAGGAATGGGATTCCAGTGATTTTGCCGTGTAGTGTCTCACAATATCATCTTGACCAACACGCTCCACCTGATTGCTGGACCCAGGGCCGCTGGGTCCGTCGGAAACCCAGTACAGATGGTGGCCAGAACCGGCAGTCCTCAAGATAATTACCGTCTGCCCGGCAGTCCCGAGTCGGAAAGACAGCCTTGAAAACAGCCCGGGCCATCCCGGGCAGCAGCAGCTTGCATGCGAAAACCCCGGAATTCCAGCACTTGCTCCGTTATAGTTCTGCAAGAGCCTGAGCCCTACCTGTGAGTGTGAAATATGAATTGCATTAATTGGGTTTGATTGAAAACAAGGGCCTCGATTGTTATTGAGTGTTATTCAGTCGAATCGTGTACACTGTACTCCTGGATATCAAGCGTTTCGAAGTCCAACCCAACCTGTGGAAGAAGAAAAAAAGCGAAAAAAAAACAAAGACCTTGACAAATAACAAGTCCCAGAGAACGTGAACTCGACCTGAAAACAAGCATATAGGTGTTTGACTAGCTGGATGAGCCGTACGCCTTGACCACCTCAGTCTTGTACTTCTCCAAAATCTTCTTGCGCTGCAGTTTTTGGGCTGCTGTAACCAAGTCCTGCGAGAGATGTTAGCCATCCAAGAAATATCGAGACAGCCCGGGTCAGTTATGTAAACTCACGTTCTGGGGTGTCCATTCCTCGTCGGACAAGACAACCCCCTCAATGATCTCGATGCCAGAAAGACCACCCTGTCGGCCGGCGCTCTGTAACTCCTTGAGAACGGCGCTCTGCAGTTTCCGGTCATGTACGAGTCCTTCCAAAGAGGTGCCCTTGATCCCGATGCTCTCTGCCAGCTTCATCAAAGCAGGCTCGGCAGGAACAATGATCGCAATAGGCTTCGCCTTCTGGGCATCGGCATACACACAAATGTTGGCCACAAGTGCGGACGCACGATAAATGGATTCCAGCTTCTCAAGGGCAATGTATTCGCCGTTCAAAGTCTTGACCAAGTTCTTCTTTCGGTCGATGAGCCTGAGGTGGCCGTTGCCGTCAAACTCACCGATGTCGCCTGTCTTGAACCAGCCATCTTCCGTGATAGCCTCTTTAGTCTCCTTAGGGTTGTCCCAGTACTCTTCCATGACCGACGGGCCGCGGATCCACACCTCGCCCTGAGGGTTCGGCTTATTGTGAGCGAAGTAGCCAGCCTCCGCGAAGTCAACCAGCTTGACTTCAATTGACGCAGGCATGGCTCCCATATTGTTGACGTTCCACTCCAATGGGTTCATGAGACAGCCCATGGCAGTAGTCTCGGTAAGACCGTATCCTATGATCATAGGCGCAATGGCCATGGAAATGAAATGCTGAGTTTCTTTGGCAATGGGTCCACCTCCGTTCATGCAAAGCTTGAGGCGTCCACCAGTCGCTTCTTTCAATTTCTTCAAGAACACAGTATCAACGATGCTAGATCCCGGGAGGCCCGCATTCATTAGGCTCGTCTTCGTAGCCAAGGCATTCCAGAAGAGCGTCTTGACAACCGCGCCGCTAGCATTGACCTTTGCGATGATGCCCTTCTTGACCGTCTCCCAGACCGCAGGGACGCCGACCATGACGGAGGGCTTAAACTCTCTGATATCGCCGGCACAGTTTCGGACCGAAGTATCGGACAATGTCTTGGGGTTGCCGTAGCCCATGGTCGACCCCCAGTAGAGACAGGCATTCTCGAAAACAAATTCAAGGATATGGGCGAGTGGGAGGTACGTCAGAAGACCATCGCCAGGTCCAATGTGTGGCTGCACGACGACACTGACACCGGCAACTGGAACGAATTTCAGTCATCAAGATGATCTCGAGATCTAGATTGGGAACATACCGGAGGCAACGACAGCCTTATGCTTCAAGGGGACACCCTTTGGAGTGCCAGTCGAGCCCGAAGTATACATAATACAGCACAAGTCCTCGGCAGTAGGAGGAACAGGATCGATTGTGTTGTCTTGGCCAAGCTTTCTCAGGTCATCGAAGCTAAGGATAGTGGTTTGAGGGTGTGCAGACTTGAGCTGGTCGACGTGTGCCTGCTGAGCCTGGTTCTGGTTGTTCCAGATAACGTAGCGGATGTCCTTGGCATCGTTGAGGACATTCACGAGTGTAGGGAGAAGATGAGGGTCAAGGAAGATGGCCTTGGCGGCGGTAGCAACCATTGAGTATCTCAGACCTTGCTCGCCTAGAGTGTCATAGGCAGTCACGACAGGCATGGACTGAGAAGCGGCGGCATGGGACATGGCTAGCCAGTGCGCACTGGTGGCAGCGTAGATGTGGACGCGATCGCCCTTGGTCATGCCTAACTTGCGCAGGCCAGAGCCGAGCTGGAGGGTGAGTTTTTCGTACTCGTGGTAGGTGATGTACTCGTAAGGGCTCAGCTCGAAGTAGGTCCAGTCTTTGCTGACCTCTTGCTCCTCACCATCCACCATCTTCTTGATCTTTTTTGACTCGCGGTGGGTGGTGATGAGCTTGCGGGAACCCAGGCACTTTGCGTTCCCGTACTTCTCGGCGCTTGACTTGACTAGCTCGTATGTGGTGGTGATGTTGCCTCCGGGAAGGGTGATCAGGTCGGGAACAGCCTGGGGTAGGCGACGAGGTAACGTCTCCCCCTCTTTCGGAATTGCACCAGGCGAGGGGACGGAGAATGGGCCCTTGACCTGCATCCTGGGCAGAATGTCGTACTTGGACTTTGGCGGCGAAGCCATTGCTAAAGTGAGCGTCTAGGTTATTGGTTACCTGAAAGAGTATTATGGCTGAGCGCAGTCGCTGCCTTCGGGAGCTTGAGAACAAGACGTGGACGGCGCGGACGGAAGCGACGGGTCGAGGTGGGCGACAGTAGGTTTCTTGGAGGAGGACGCCGTGAGCGCTTGGTAGAAGCTGAAGATGTTCAGATTGTGGAGTTTGGCGTTGGAAGGAGGCCTGCGTAGGAAAGCAGCTAAGGAAGGGGGTGGTCGGGGTATTTGTTGGTCGGATGGCGAGAAGGAACAGGCAATGGGAAGGGAAGGCAAAAGGTGCCGTTAAGAGACGCCGGACACGCTCGTGGGAGCTTCTGGGGGGTTTTCTTGGCTCTTCTTCCAACTTGCTTTGAAAGGGCGAGTGGATCTCCACAAAAGTGTGGCTCAAGCTCCAGGTCTAGCTAGGCATAGTGTGAAAGTCAGGTCGGGTTTGTACTCTACCTCCTGCTGGACTGTACTTAAGATACCTAGGCACCTGCCTACCTATGGAGCGTCCCGCGACTGCTGTGCTTTCCAATGGATCACTGCAGCCGCTGGCTAGGTAAGGTACAGTAGGAACCTCACGTGTACCTGCCTGCCAACCGCAGTATCGACTACCTAGGTACCTACATCCACCCATGGATAAGGTAAGGCAGGTGCCTCGGAATGGAAACACTCGTCGCGCCACAGTAGGTGCCTTAGAGTAATGAACCTACACCACAAACAAACGCCATCGCGTACGCATTTGCTTGGGTGCTTTGAAAGTATGAACCAGAGAGTGAAGGGAAGGATCTATGTATTTCACGAAGTACCTGGAGCCTTCAATCGCGAAGCTTCCCTCCCTCACGCAGCTACGTACGGGTACAGGCACAGCGGCGACACAGATGATGCACCGCAGCGCAGCGACGCGCCTTTGCGGGGTAGTATATTGCATAGTAGACCGGACGGTCCCCTTGTTTCGTGGGCGTACGCCTTATCTGAAGAGTACTACATGAACCTGGAATGGCGTCGTAACTCGCTGGCCAAAAAGGTACCAAGTAGGCAAGGTAGGGTACTGCAAGACACTGGATGAATCCACATTCCTGTCAAATCTGCGCATGGATTGAGTTACGCCTGGCAGCGTTAGTGAACGGATTTCGGCGGATAGACGATGCAGTACATCCCTCTCAAGGGCTGGAGCTCTTGGGTTTTCCCATGTCGTCTTTGGTTCACCACAACACAAAAAACAAATTGTACCCCCTCCCTCCACCACGGAGTTGCTTGTCTTCGCGTCGAGAGAGGAAATGCGCCCGCCCTGTCCCCCTCAAGTCCTGCAGCCCGGGGAAATTAAGGCCAGAATTCGTCGTGGGATACCGTCACCAACAACAGATCCAAGCCTATTGAGGCCGTCGGAGTAGTCGTAAAGCAAGGTAGCGGAATGCCACGCCTTGGCAATTGGGTTGGCGCGTTGCCAGTAATGCTTCTGGCCGGCCCTCCTCGCCTGCCCCAACGCTTTCCCCCGCGTCTTAGCCTCGCAATCCATATGTGACTGAGCTGTCCTGTGTCGGCTTCTTCACGTCCAGCCAAGCAACAAGCCTCTTGGCGCATTAACATGCACCAAAGTATCCGTACGTGCGGTTCCGGAGTCCAATAGACTTGGCGTGGTTTGGTTGACAAACCCTTTCAGAGCATGGCTTGCTGAGAGCCACCACCAATACACCAGCAATGGAGAACTTACTGTTTCGCCCAACGAGGTTGTCGCGTGGCCTCCGACACAGCCACTATCACACACATTAGCATGTGTTTTTTGATGAATCTACGCCAGATACTGTTTGTCTCTTTTTCACGTAGGTAATGCTTGTAAATGCGGATTGTCGTTGCAACACTGCTGCATACAATACGTTTCCCCGCTGTACCTTCTACTTGCATGCTGCATTTATTACATATCTCCCTAGACCATCGCTGTGGTGCAGTCACCGACTGATAACGCCCCGCTTGCCCGCATGTGAATCATCGATAATAGGTATGTATGTCGCCTAAGAACGCACGGAACGTCAGTAAGGTAAGACGCTCGAATTAGACCCCACTTGAAGCCCTCTCGACGGCATGCTTCGTTCATCTTTAACTAACGCATAACGTTCACAGTTGGAACCAAGCCGATG